CACGAGCGCTACTTCCTGCTGGTGGTTGACGACTGCTCGCGTTACACCACAGTCTTCCCCTTGCGCAGCAAGGGTGATGTCACTGAGGTGTTGATCGACTGGATCCGCGCAGCTCGTCTCCAGCTCAGGCGGAGCTTTGGCTCGGACTTTCCTGTTCTGCGTCTGCACTTTGACAAAGGCGGAGAGTTCTCCTCTGGCCTTCTGCGAGCCTACTGTCGTGCACGAGGCATCCGCCAGACCTTCACGCTTCCGGACTCTCCACAGCAAAATGGGATTGCTGAGCGCCGCATTGGCATGTTCATGGACGTCGCCCATACGTCCATGATGCATGCGGCTACCCCCCATTTTCTGTGGCCGTTTGCGGTCCGGTACGCGGCGCATCAGATCAACCTTCAGCCTAGGGTCTCCATGCTGGAGACCTTCCCAGCCTTGCTGTGGACACGGAAGGTTGGCGATGCGTCTGCGTTCCGTGTCTGGGAATCTCGGGCATTTGTCCGCGACTTGTCTGCGGACAAGCTGTCCCCTCGTGCTGCTCCTTGCGTCTTCCTGGGTTTCCCCCCTGACGCGCCAGGGTGGCAGTTCTACCACCCCACCTCTCGCCGTGTTCTGTCCTCCCAGGACGTCACGTTCGACGAGTCGGTCTCCCACTACCGTCTCTTCCCCTACCGCACTCCGTCCCTCCCCCCGCCGCCGCTCTTCCTTGTGCCAGGTCCCCCCCCGGTAGACCCCCTCCCCCCTCAGGGTCCTGCCCCTTCAGGTGTGTCCCAGGTAGACGCTGTTGAGCCTGTCGAGGTCGTTGGTGGCTCTGGTACTGCTGAGGGTGCTGAGCCTAGGGGTGCTTACTCTGGGGGTGCTGAGCGTGTGGGTGCTACGCCTGGGGGTGCTGAGCCTAAGGGTACTACGACTGGGGGTGCTGAGCGTGGGGGTGCTGAGTCTGGGGGTGCTGAGCCTGGGGGTGCTACGCCTGGGGGTGCTGAGCCTGGGGGTGCTGAGCCTGGGGGTGCTACGCGTGGAGGTGCTGAGCCTGGGGGTGCGGAGCGTGAGGGAGCTGGGCCTGCTGGTGCTGTGCTTGGCGGTTCTCCGGGTGCTTCATCTCGCCGGGAGCCACTCTCTCCACAGGAGTTGCGTGAGTGGTTTGCTCGGCGCTGGAGGCGAACTGCTGGAGCTGGAGGTGCTGTGGGTACTGGAGGTTCTGTTGCTGTGGAGGGAGCTGGTGCCACGGGTCCCGGAGGTGCTTGTACTGGGAGTACTGGAGCTGCTGGGCCTGCGGGTACTTCTGGAGCTGGAGCTGCTGCGGGTGTTGGCGTGGAGGCTACTGCTGTCGGTCCTGGAGGCGGTCCTGCTGGGGGTACTATTGGTGCTGCTGGAGGTACTGGAGCTGGGGCTACTACTGGTGCTGGTTCTGCCATTGGGGGTGCTGGTGCTGTCCCTACTGTGTCTGGAGTCGCCGCGCGGCCTCGGCCGTACTTCGTTCCGCTCCTTCAGCAGGTTCTTGGTCTCCCGTCTTCTACTGGTCCTCCTCCTCCCTTAGAGTGTCTACAGCCTGTCCCGTCGCAGTTACAGTTACAGCAGGCCTCCCCACTGCGTGCTCCCTCTCCCTACACTGGTCCTACTGGAGGTCTTGCTGAGCGACGTGAGCCTGCGTCTCGCCCTGCGTCGCCTGTCCGTGCTGCTCGCACTAGTGGTCGCGGTTCGCGTCAGCATCCTCCTCCTGTCCCTGGCACGCACCGGATGTCTCTGCGTCCGTCCACTGCTCCTCTGCGTGCCCCTTTGCCTTCTCGTTCTGAGTCTTCTCTTCCTGCTCTTGCCGACCCGGAGTCGGACTCTCTTCGTGCTGCCAGTCCTACTGTCACGCGTCTCCTTGCTAGTGTCGTCACTGACCCTTCCTTTGAGTCCACTGCTGCGTCTGCCCTAGTTGTTGAGCTCGTCGACTTTGCTGCTTGCTGTCGCCTAGACTACGCCGCCAGTCTTGTTGCTGAGTCTGAGTCTGTCTGTCCTCCATCCGTCGGGGGTGAGTGTGCCCTTCGCACGGACGTCCTCGAGGACAGGCAAGAGGGGTTCCAGTGCTTGGCCGCTGCTTCACCTCATCTCGTGTCCGTACTGCTTACCCCTGAGGGAGACTCGGATGCACTTGACATCCCGACTCCGCGCTCTTACGCGGAGGCGATAGAGGGTCCCTACTCCTCTCAGTGGCAGGGAGCTATGGACGCAGAGATGGCTTCCTGGAAGTCCACAGGCACCTACGTTGACGATGTTCCCCCTCCAAGGGCGATTATCGTCAATGGCATGTGGATTTTCAGGGTGACGCAATCGCCGGGTTCTCCGCCTGTCTTCAAGGCGCGTTACGTGGCTCGTGGCTTCAGTCAGCGGCAGGGAGTTGACTACTTTCAGACCTTCTCTCCCACCCCGAAGATGACCACTCTTCGGGTGCTGCTGCACATAGCTGCTCACCGTGACTACGAGCTGCACTCTCTTGACTTCAGCACTGCTTTCTTTAGGGCAGCCTGCACAAGGAGATCTGGCTGCGCCGCCCACTTGGCTTCACTGGGAGTTTTCCTCCTGGCACCCAGTGGAGCCTCCGGCGGCCAGTCTACGGTCTCCGCGAGGCACCGCGTGAGTGGCACGACAAACTGAGGACTACACTTGCGGCTCTTGGGTTTGCTCCCTCTACTGCCGACCCGTCGCTGTTTCTGCGCACCGACACTTCTTTGCCGCCGTTCTACATCCTCGTGTAAGTCGACGACTTGGTCTTTGCCACAGCTGACACTACTGGACTCGCCCACGTGAAGTCCGAGCTACAGAAGAGACACACGTGCACAGACCTGGGTGAACTGCGCAGCTACCTTGGCTTGCAGATCACCCGGGACAGAGCACGCCGCACCATTACCCTGACTCAGTCACACATGGTGCAGCAGGTCCTTCAGCGCTTCGGCTTCACGTACTCCTTGCTTCAGGCCACTCCTCTGCCTACTCGCCACTCGCTCTCAGCTCGGCCTTCGGATGAGTCCGTAGAGTCGAGTGGCCCGTACCCAGAGCTTGTTGGCTGCCTCATATACCTGATAACCTGCACACGACCTGACCTTGCATACCCTGTTAGCATTCTCGCACGCTATGTTGCTCCTGGGAGACACAGACCGGAGCATATGGCTGCAGCGAAGAGGGTGTTGCGCTACTTGTGCAGTACGTCGGGCATGAGGTTTGTGCTTGGAGGGCAGAGTCTAGTGGTCCTTACTGGGCACGCAGACGCTTCTTGGGCTGACGACCAGGCTACGCAGCGGTCGTCACAGGGCTACACCTTCAGCCTTGGTTCCGGCTCTGTTTCGTGGCGGGCTACTCGCTCGTCTTCTGTTCTCGGCTCCAATTGTGAGGCTGAGATCTACGCAGGAGCCATGGCTGCACAGTAGCTTCGCTGGCTCACCTACCTGGTGACTGACCTCGGAGAGCCGCCTCGTTCTCCTCCAGTGCTGTACGTAGACAACAAGGCCATGCTGGCCTTGTGTCGGGAGCAGCGACTGGAGCACAGAACGAAACACATTGCTCTCCGCTACTTTCTTGCTCGTGAGCTGCAGCACCGTGGTCAGCTGCGTCTTGCGTACGTGGCCTCTGAGTCGCTTGCGCCTTGTGACCATCAGCGCTTCTGTACTCATTTGGGCCTTGTGCCTACCTTGCCTCACTTGCTCACCTCTTGACCTTGCTTGTACTGTTACATATATACATACACCTGCTCTTGCTTGTCTAGCCTTTTTATATATATGTGTACTTCTGCATGTGAACTGGCCTTGTGGCCTTGAACTTGTGCTCGGAATGTGTGGTGACTTTGTGATCCACCCTGAGCTTGCTTTGCCTTGCTTTGCTTGACTGGTCTTGTGACCCCTTGTTCTCCCCCACTTTGCCTATGGGGGTGTGTCAGAACATTATAGCTTATGCATATTGTGTAGGCTATAGTGGGGTAGCCCATAAGGGGTACAACCCAATTAGGGTTAGTACTTGTACCCAATTCATTCATAGTTCATTCATTCCTTGTCTCTTCTCACTTGTGCGAGACATGAAATGTACATTGAAAAAACATTATTTGCAGATGTTGACAGGAGGAAAAAAAGGGGGGGCCCCTTCTGTACAATATGCACTTGCCAATGCTTCCACGTCATCACACCGACAATAGGGGCGAATATGCATTGTCAAACATCATATATGTTATTGCTGTGTAGGGTACAGTGGGTTAGTCTTTAGGGGGTACAATACTTTAGGGTTTCATACTTGTACCACCAACCTTCCTAGTTCAATCACTTCTTGTTTCTAACATGGTATTAAGAGCTTAGGTTCTAAACCTAAGGGCCCACCGTTCCGCTAGAGGTGCCCTCGTGCGCCCTTTTTTTAGCGCCCTCGTGCGCCTCTCTCCTAGTGCGCCCTCGTGCGCTCTCTCCTCTCACGCTGCCCGTTTGCAGCCTGCTAGTGGCCCGAGCACGGCCTCGCCGTTTTAGCGCGCGTAGGAAATTCGCCGCCTAGGGCGGCTCGATTTTTTCTCGCGAGCCCCAGCAGGCCGTCGCCGTAGGCCCCGCTCGCCCCTAGGCTGACGTGCGACCCACAGCCGCCCGCCCGCAGGACGCAGCCAGCGCGCAGCAGCGATCGCGCGTCGGCTGCTGCTGCTAGCGCTTAGCCGCCGCACGAACGCAGCCACGGCCCGCGCGCAGCCGCACCCTAGGCGCCGCCGCGCACCGAGCATAGGCCCGCCGTCGCGCTGCCTTACCTACCCGAGTCGCGCCGCCCGAGTCGCACCGCCCTGACCGAGCCGTGCTGCCCTATCTGCAGCAACTGCTCTTACTGCCCCTCCTGCTGCTACTACTGATTCTGTTACTTCTGCTACTGCCACTGCTGCTACTGCTACTACTGCTACTGCTACTACTGCTATTGCTACTACCACTATGGCTAGTCCTACCGTTCTGACGTTTGACTTTGAGGGCCGTCCGATTAAGTTTGACGTTTGGCTCGATGACCTGCACATGTTCCTCCAGATCACTGCCAAGGACGATGTTTCCCTTTTTTACCACACGTCCGGCGCCGCTCCTTCGCCTGCTGCTACTGGTGACAGCACTGCTCGATCATAGTGGCAGACCCGTGATGCTCATGCTCGCCTAGCCGTTCGCAGCCACCTACCGCTAGATGAGCGCGAGAACTTTGGCCAGCATAAGACCGCTAAGGAGCTGTACGACGTTGTCGTTGCACGCTACTCCTCCCCTGCCACTGCTGCGATAGGCCGTCTCTCACTGCCCTATCTCTTCCTCGATCTGTCTGCCTTTGCCACTGTAGCTAACCTCATCACGCACCTTCGTACTAGTGATCTTCGCTATCGTGCCGCGCTTCCCCCCGATTTCCTAGCCAAGAACCCTCCCCCGATGTACCTCACACTCTATCACCTGGTCACCCGCCTCCCTGACTCCCTTCGCACTTTGAGGGACCACTTTTTCGCCCTCTCCCCTACCGACCTCACTGTTGACCTGCTCGAGAAGGAACTCCTCGAAGCTGAGAAGAGCATTGTAGCTGTAGGTGCCTCTCGTGGCGACCCTCGCACTCCCTTCTTTGAGGGGTGCTCCCCCTCCCCCCTCCTCCCCTCCATTGCATCTGGTGCTGCTGTCGACTACCTCGGTGCTGAGGGGGTTGGGGCTGCGTCTGCTCCTAGTGGGAGGCGCAAGGGCGGCAGGGGCAAGGGGGGCAGGGGTGGCGGAGGTGGCGGCAGGGGCGGCGGCGGTGGAGGGGGTGGAGGGGGCGGGGGTGGTGGCGGTGGTGGGAGTGGCGCTGGTGGTGGGGGGGTCAGTGGCGGGGCAGGGGGTGGAGGCGGCGGAGGTGGCGGGGGTGGTGGTGGCAGTGGTGGAGGCGGTGGAGTAGGTGGCGGGCGCGGCGGAGCAGTGCAGCATGGGGGGTTCGGCGGTGGCCTGAGGCAGCAGCAGTAGCGTCCCGGCGAGACTCCTTCGCCTCAGTAGCTCCGTGAGTGGTATTCTCAGCGTGGGGGGTCTGGGGGTGGAGGTACCTGCCCGTACGTCATCCGCACAGGTGACCGCACTGGCCAGACATGTTGGAGGTTCCACACGGCGCAGCGCTGCTTCTTTCGACTTGACGACGCTTGGCGCGAGCAGTTTCCTGATGCCGCTGAGTTGCCCCGCTGGGCTGATCTGCTTAAGAAGGGAATTGATATCTTTGCTCTTGATTATGATGCTATTCTTGGTGCTATGTACGCATTGACTATTAGTGTTGAGGGTGACTGTTACCTGAGTGTACCGCCTGACCCGGGAATAGGGACCACTGAGACTACCGCTCTAGGTGCTAGTGCGTCTGCTGCGCTGCGTCCTGGTGAGGCTGCTGCTCTAGGTGCCAGTGAGTCTGCTGCTCCAGGTGCTTGTGAGTCTGCGCCTGCTGGTACTGCGCTACTGAGGCACTGCACACCTTCACACTGGACTCGGGTGCTTCCCGCTGCTTCTTTCGTGACCGCACTGTCCTTGAGCCGCTAGCTCGACCAGTTGCTGTCTCTCTCGCTGACCCCTCTAGGGGTCCAGTCCTTGCGACCTCCTCCACTGTCCTTCCTTGTCCGGCGATTCCGGCCAGCACCCTGTCAGGTCTGTACCTCCCCTCGTTCTCTACGAACTTGGTGGCGGGCTCTGCTCTCCAGGACGGGGGTGTTCACCAGTTCACCCCTGCCTATAAGCGTGTGACCTACTGTACGTGTGCTCGGACGGGTCGCCACCTGGCTACCTTTACTCGGCAGCCGGGGTCGGACCTGTACACACTGACCACTGAGTCCCCTCAGGTAGCTGCATCTGCGTCTGCGTCAGGTCAGCTGTCGGCCCCCTGCTCGTGTCGCAACCTGTCGCACCAGACCATCCTCTGGCACCACCGCCTTGGTCACCCTTCAGTGCAGCGCCTTCGTGGCATGCACTCCCGGTACCTTGTCTCTGGTCTTCCCAGGGTTCTCCCTCCTCTCCCACCCTCGCCTGCTCCTCCCTGTCTTCCCTGTGTCGAGGGGCGGCAGCGCGCCACTCCTGACTCCTCCTCGTTCCCTCCCACAGAGGCTCCTCTGCAGACTCTCCACCTGGACGTGTGGGGCCCAGCCCGCGTCCGTGGACAAGGCCACGAGCGGTACTTCCTGCTGGTCGTCGATGACTACACGCGTTACACCACGGTCTTTCCCTTGCGCACCAAGGGTGAGGTCTCTGATGTTTTGATCCCTTGGATCCGCGCTGCTCGTCTCCAGCTCCGCGACCGGTTCTGTGGTGTTTTGATCCCTCGGACTTTCCAGTCCTGTGTCTGCACTCTGACAGATGTGGTGAGTTTTCCTCCGACCTCTTGGCTGCCTACTGTGCGGAGCACGGCATCCGCCGGACTTTCACACAGCCGGCCTCTCCACAGCAGAATGGGATTGCTGAGCTCCGCATTGGCTTAGTCATGGAGGTCGCTCGTACCTCCATGCTCCATGCGGCTGCCCCCTATTTCCTGTAGCCGTTTGCAGTGCAGTACGCTGCGCATCAGCTCAACCTCTGGCCTCGGGTCTCTGCTCCGAAGACCTCGCCCACACTGCGTTGGACGGGGAAGGTTGGCGATGCGTCGGTGTTCCGAGTCTGGGGATGTCGAGCCTTTGTCCGCGATACGTCCGCGGACAAGCTCTCCTCCCGTGCCGTTCCCTGCGTCTTTCTTGGCTTTGTCCCTGACGCGCCTGGCTAACAGTTTTACCACCCCACCTCGCACCGTGTCTTCCCCTCTCAAGACGTCACTTTTGACGAGTCGGTACCCATTTACCGTCTGTTCCCCTACCGCACTGCGCCGCTCTTCCTCACGCCAGGTGCTGCTTCGGTAGACCCCCTCCCTCCCCTGGGTCCTGCTCCCTCAGATGTTTCCCTGGTGGACCCAGTCGAGCCGGTAGAGGTAGCTGTCGACTCTGGTCCTGCGAGGGGTACTGAAACTGGGGGTGCTGAGCCTGGGGGTACTGAGCCTGGGGGTGCTGAGAGTAGGGGTGCTAAGCCTGGGGGTGCTGAGCCTGGGGGTGCTGAGCCTGGGGGTGCTGAGCCTTGGGGTACTGAGCCTGGGGGTGCTGAGCCTGGGGGTGCTGAGCCCGGGGGTGCTGAGCGTGGGGGTGCTGCGCCTGGTGACGCTCCCTCTTCACAGCAGCTGCGTGAGTGGTACTCTCAGCGTTACACCCTCCGGCGTGGGGCTGCGGGAGCTGGGGGTTCTGCTGGAGTTGGAGCTGGTGGTGCTACGGATGCTAGGTTGCAGCCGTTGCCTCCCTCACCACAGCGACTGCGTGAGTGGTACGCTCGGCGCTGGGGCCTCCGGAGCGGCGCCCCTGGCACTGGGGTGCCGCCCGCTGGAGGCCCTGGTGCTACTGGAGGTCCTGGAGCCTCAGGTCCTGGAGGTGCTCGTACAGGCGGTACTGGAGCTGCAGGGACTGAGGGTGCTGCTGGAGCTGGAGCTGCTGGAGCTGGTGCTACTGGAGGTGCTACTGGTACTGGAGTTGGAGCTATAGGTGCTGGCGCTGCTGGAGCTGCCGGTGGAGCTGAGGAGGCTGGGCCTACTGGAGTTGGTGTAGCTGCTGACCCTGGGGTTGGTCCTGCAGGTGCTGGAGCCGACGGTGCGGCTGGAGTTGATACTACTAGGGGTACTGGAGTTGGCGCTGTTGGAGCTGCTGCTAGGGTTTCTGGTGCTGTCTCTGCTGTTCTGGGGGCGCTTCACGGCCGTGGTCGTACTTCGTTCCGCTCCTTCAGCAGGTTCTTGGTCAGCCTCCTCCTCCTTGTCCTGCTCCCTCCTTAGAGTGTCCGCAGCCTGTCCAGTCGCAGTTTTAGTTACAGCCTGCCTCGCCCCTCCCTGGTCCTTCTCCCTACACTGGTCTGACAGGAGGTCTTACGGAGCGTCGTGAGCCTGAGTCTCGTCCTGTGTCGCCTCAGTCTCGTTCTGCGTCGCCTGTTCGTGCTGCTCGCACTAGTCGTCGTGTCCCGCGTCCGCGTCCTCCTGCTGTCCCAGGCACTCACCAGATGACGCTTCGTCTTGCCTCTGCTCCACAGCGTGTCCCTCTGCCTTCCCCTCATGCGTCCTCTCTTCCTGCCCTTGATGACCCGGAGTCTGACTCTCTTCGTGCTGCTAGTCCTACTGTCACGCGTCTCCTGGCCACTGCTGTCACTGACCCTTCCTTTGAGTCTGCTGCTGCGTCTGCCCTAGTTGCTGAGCTTGTCGACTTTGCTGCTCGCTGTCGTCTAGACTACGCCGCGAGTCTTGTTGCTGAGTCTGAGTATATCTGTCCTCCGTCCGTCGGGGGTGAGTGTGCTCTAGGCACGGACGTCCTTGAGGACAGACAGGAGGACCTTGAGTGTCTTGCAGCCGCTGCGCCTCATCTAGTGTCCATGCTGCTTGCCCCTGAGGGAGATCCGGATGCTCCAGACATCCCGACCCCGCGCTCTTACGCTGAAGCGATCGCGGGTGAGTACTCCTCTCAGTGGCATTAAGCCATGGACGGAGAGATGGCATCCTGGAAGTCCACTGGCACTTACGTCGACGAGGTTCCCCCTCCTTGGGCGAACATCGTCAGTGGCATGTGGATTTTCAGGGTGAAGCGGCCGCCAGGTTCTCCGCCTGTATTCAAAGCTCGTTACCTTGCTCGAGGCTTCAGTTAGCGAGAGGGAATAGACGTCTTTCAGACCTTCTCCCCCACCCTGAAGATGACCACTCTTCGGATGCTACTGCACGTTGCCGCTCAGCGTGACTACGAGCTTCACTCTCTTGACTTCAGCACAACTTTCTTGCATGGCAGCCTGCACGAGGAGATCTGGCTGCGCCGCCCTCCTGGCTTCACTGGGTCGTTTCCTCCTGGTACCCAGTGGAGCCTCCGGCGGCCGGTCTACGGTCTCCGCCAAGCGCCACATGAGTGGCACGACACACTGAGGACTACTCTTGCGGCTCTTGGGTTCGCGCCTTCTGCTGCTGACCCGTCGCTGTTTCTGCGCACCGACACTTCGCTGCCGCCGCTCTACATCCTCGTGTACGTTGACGACTTGGTCTTTGCCACTGCTGACACTGAGGCTCTCGCCCACGTGAAGTCGGAGCTGCAGAAGAGACACGCGTGCACAGACCTGGGTGAACTGCGCAGCTACCTTGGCTTGCCGATCATCCGGGACAGAGCACGCCGCACCATCACACTGACTCAGTCCCACACGGTGCAGCAGGTCCTTCAGCGCTTCGGCTTCACCTGGTCCTCGGCACAGGAGACTCCTCTGGCTATAGGTCACTCGCTCTCAGCTTTGCCTTCGGATGAGTCCATAGAGCCGAGTGGTCCTTACCCACAGCTAGTTGGCTGCCTCATGTACCTGATGACTTGCACTCGTCCTAACCTAGCGTACCCTCTTGGCCTTCTGGCCCGCTACGTGGCTCCTGGTAGGCACTGAAAGGTGCATTGGGATGCTGCAAAGAAGGTATTGCGCTACTTGTGTTAAGATACTAAGCATGAGTAGCAAACAGAGCATGCAAGGTGCACCACCAAGTAGAAAGTTATATGACTACAGTATTCTACACTACAGGCAGTTCTAGAACAATATATAGAATTATATATTAGTCTGACACGCCCCCATAAGTGCCTGTAGGGAAGAATATGCAGTCAACGCCCCCTGAAGGGGTACACCAAGCGCAGGAGAAGGAGAGGGGAAGTGAGGAGGAGGAGGGACTATGACAGGAGAGGAGATGGGAGGCGACGGTGGAAGCGACAGACACACGGCGCAACTGGAGCAACTCGCACACGGGCAAGTGGAGCAACTGGCACACTGGCAACTGGAGCAACTGGCACACGGGCAACTGGAGTAACTGGCTCCGCGGTTAGACGAGCGGCAGGAGCAACTGACCCACGGGCTACTGGAGCAACGGGCTCACTGGCGACTGGAGCTATGGGCTCACGGGCGACTGGCGCAACGGTCCTACGGGCGACTGGAGCTGCTGGCTTCACGGCGGCCACCTCCACTCAACCTCCCCCACCTGTCCCACACTCATCACCCCCACACCCGCCACCCCCATACCCATCACCCCCACACCCACCACCCCCATACCCACCCCCCCACGGCTGCACCGGGTCCAGGAGCGGCTGCTGCAGTGGCGACTGCTCCAGGGGCGGCTGCTCCAGGGGCGGCTGCTCCAGGGGCCAGGGGCGGTTCCTGCAGTGGCGGCTGCTCCAGTGGCCAGGGGCGGCTGCTGCAGGGGCGGCTGCTCCAGGGGCCCGGGGCGGCTGCAGGTGCGGCTGCTCCAGGGGCCAGGGGCGGCTGCTGCAGTGGTGGCTGCTCTAGAGGCCAGGGGCGAGCTGCAGGGGCGGCTGCTCCAGGGGCGGCTGCTGCAGGGGCGGCTGCTCCAGGGGCGGCTGCTGCACTGGCAGCTGCTCCAGAGGCCAGGGGCGGCTGCTGCAGGGGCGGCTGCTCCAGGGGCGGCTGCTGCAGTGGCGGCTGCTCCAGGGGCGGCTGCAGCTGCAAGGCAGGCTCGCGCGCTGTTGCAAAACAGGCGCGGGCACAGGGGAGGCAGAGGCGGCGGCGGGGGGGGGGGGGGGGCGGGGGGGGCGCGAGGAGCAGGTGACGGGGCCACTAGGGGCGGCAATGGAGCCGAGAAAGGGCGGCGACAGTGCCGCGAGGGGCCGAGAAGGGCGGCGACGGGGCCGCTAGGAGTGGCGACTGGGCCGATAGGGGCGGCGACAGGGCCGCGAAGTGTGGTGACGGGGCCGCTAAGGGTGGCGCGAGGGGCCGTGAGAGGAGCAGCGACGGGGCCGCGAAGAGGCCGTGAGGGGCCGAGAAGGGCGGCGACGGGGCAGGAAGACGCCGCTCGCCCGGGGCGCACGGCGGGCGGAAAACCGCCACGCGCCCCGAGCGCGTGGCGGGAAGAAAAAGGTGTCGTGCGCCACGGGGCGTGCGACAGACAGGAAAGAAGTGGAAGCACGTGGGGCCCACAGGCCAAGAGCGTAGTCGCTCTGATTCCATGTTAAGATACTAAGCATGAGTAGGCTTAGGAGCCATAGGTTTAGTAGCTTAGTGATCGAGTTCGAGGGTAAGGAGAAGTGTCGAGAAAGTTGAGAGGGGAGGGGTGTTCACTATAGCACAAAAGTACATATAGCAAACAGAGCATGCAAGGTGCACCACCAACTAGAAAGTTATATGACTACAGTATTCTACACTACAGGCAGTTATAGAACAATATATAGAATTATATATTAGTCTGACAACTTGTGCAGTACGTCGGGCATGGGGCTCGTGCTTGGAGGGAGGAGCTCAGTTGTTCTCACTGGGCACTCAGACGCTTCTTGGGTTGATGTCCAGGCTACTCAGCGGTCGACACAGGGTTACACCTTCAGTCTTGGCTCTGGCTCAGTTTCTTGGCGTTCTACACGCTCGTCTTCAGTTCTCAGCTCAAGTTGTGAGGCTGAGATCTATGCCACAGCCATGGCTGCACAAGAGTTACGCTGGCTCACCTACGTGCTGACCGACCTGGGAGAGCAGCCTCGTTCTCCTCCAGTGCTGTACGTCGACAACAAGGCTGCCATTGCCTTGTGTGAGGAGCACAGACTGGAGCACAGAACGAAGCACATCGCTCTACGTTACTTCCTGGCTCGAGAGTTGCAGCAGCGTGGTCAGCTTTGTCTGCGTTACGTGGCCACTCAGGCCAACACTGCTGATATATTCACCAAGGCACTTCAGTATGGTGGTCATCAG